AAACAGCACAATAATTCTTTTAGGAATAGTAAATGCGCAAACAGCACAATACTTTCTAAATATATAGGAGAAATTTAAAACAAAAGACAAATCACACTAATATATCAAGAAAAATAAAGAAAACAGAATCAGCCTGCAACAATAAATACAAAACCTGTTAACTCTGTCTGGGAGAGGGGAGAAAATAACTAAAATTACGTTCCCAGAACACCACAAATTACTAAATAAGCGATCAGAACTCGCTTCAAAATTCAAAACTCGGAAACAATCGAAAATGAATGCGAAAAAACAAATAAATAAGTAATTATAAACAAAATATCTAAATCGATAAATAAGTAAACAAATTAAATAATAAACAAATTAACAAACTCCGAATGTACACATAAGCACATGTAAATGTAATCATAATAATAACAATTAAAAACAAAAATAAAGTAATCAATGATAAATAATGAGTAAAAAGTTAACGAACAACACTATAAAGCAGCTACAAAGGATTACATTCGGATCCACCATTATTTCTATTGAATAGCCTCGAAAATAATTTGAAACATAATAGCTACCGCCCAACTAATAACCATTAGGATAATACAACAAACCTTCTAACCATAATGCATCATTGACTAGCATAAATAGCTGAGCCAAAACACATTAACTGAACATTGCGTTTAAGCATAAGCAGATTGTCGCTGGTGAGTGTTGGCCTCAACGTCCATTTGTATATTTTTAAATTTACACACACTATATCTCCGATACAGATCACTTTAATCCATAAATATGGCATACCTTAAAACTACATACTTACATGATGAAAAACGCTCTAAATTTAATAAAAACAAACTTTTATCATCAAAATCTTTATGCTATTATTAAGAAGAAAATCGAAATATTTTTTTTATTATTAAATAATATTTTTGATCCTTTTCAAAACGTTCGAAATTTTGGTTAAAAATGTTTTCTTGCGTCAATGGGGAACCAAAGATTAGTAGAGGAAATTTTAGCCTCTTTTTTTGCGGAGAAAACACATTGATTTTAAAATTCTTGCAAAAATCAAATAAATGAAACGTTCATAACTCATTCACGAATTAATGAAATTCTTTTATTTTTTTCTACATCTTTCTTGCTAAAATGTAAAGTTTTAAATATTTTAAAATTCTGCATTAATTATACCAGTTATGTTATATTGTTATTAAGAAAAAACTATATTTACTAATCATAAATGCAAAAGTTTACTACAATTCAGCGACTTTGAATATTTTAAAATGAATTTAGAATTCTTTTTAACTGTGTATAAACGTGGCGATTTTTGTTAATACGGACGTCCATACAGGACATTATCTGAAAATAAGAGCGGTGACTATATTAAATTTAAAACCAAAGTACCTAAAATTCAATAAAGCATGATATTACGGAGAATAATTTGCTACTCTTTAAAGATTTATAGGCAGTTTAAAATTATATAAAAATGGGATCCACGTTATATTCCTCCAGTATTTTTGCAGATATGTCCCCCGTAGAAAAAAAAATTAATGCTCTCAACTTGTCAATAAATCTGTCAACGCATAATAAAAATACTTACCTCGGAGTTAAAAGAAATACAAATCTCCGATCAGACAGGGTTTGTTTGTCGAAAATAAATATTTTTATGGGGTTAGTTCGAATTAATTATTTATATCTATCATTTGCGAACTGTTTTACTTTTTCTTTTTTTATTCTTTTTTTCTTTTCAATCGCCTTTCTTCTCATTCTTTTTTACTCTTTTCCTTCTGACACTTACCTTCTCTTATTCCCTCTTCTTTTCTCTTTTCTTCCTTCCCTTTTCCTTTCCTCTTTTTCATCTTCCTTTTTTTCCTAATACTACTTCCTCTCCCATTGTTATTCTCTTTCTCCTTTTCTCTTACTTTTGTTATTCATTTTCTTTCTCCAAATGTCTACTCCTGCTCACTGATCCTTTCCTTTCCTTTTCTTCTTCTATTTACCCTATCATGACACTCCACAATTTCCTTTCATTTATATATATATATATATATATATATATATATATATATATATAAACCGATTTTCACGATTTTTTCCTTCATTTTGATTTCTTCTTGTTTTTCTTCTTCGAGTTTCTGCAGAAAGCTGAGAAGAAGAAACAAACTGACAACAAAATCTCAGCAAATGTCTTCCGTCTGCTTGATGACATTTAAAGCAAATCAAGAAAAAGCACAAGTATATAAGAGAATACGAAAGCGAACGAGAAGAATAAAAAGAGAGAGAAGAAAGAATGAGAAGAAAGAAAAAGAATTTAACTAAATGAAAAATTATGGGGGGGGGGCGGCCTTTAGAATATGGTTGAGGAAAAATGGAAATGAATGAAATGGTTTGACAATGATATTAAATGGGGAAGAAAGAAAGGGTGAGAATGAGAAGATTGTGACGCAGGTGAAAACGGAAAACGAAAGTAAAACTGGAAAGAAGAAGAAGAAGAAGAAGAAGAAGAAGAAGAAACAGGGATAGAAAAAGAACAGTAGTGATAATAATAATGATGACAAGAAAAAGAATGAAAATAAAGAAAAAAGAAGAGGAAACATTAGAAAAAAGAAACAAATAGAAAAGGAAAAGAAACATGAAGAAGAAACAGGAAGTGAAGAAGCAACAGTAGGAAAAGGGATTGAAGGAGAAAGAAAGAAAGAAAGAAAGAAAGAAAGAAAGAAAGAAAGAAAGAAAGAAAGAAAGAAGAATAGCCTAGTAATCGAAGAAGAAAAAGATAATAGTCTAGTAATCATGGAAGAAGAAAGAAAGAAAGAAAGAAAGAAAGAAAGAAGTCTGGAATAAAGATGAATATAAAAGATTGATAAAGAACAGAGACATAATGAATAATAAATGAAGAGGAGTAAAAAAGAATTTTTAAAAATTTAGAACTAGAAAATGCGAAGAATAAAATTGATAGGAGTTGATTACAACAATGAGGAATAATAGAAACTAAATAGAAGTGGTTGGAGAAAAGGCGCGCAATAGAAGGAAAGAAAAAAGCAAGAAAGAAAAAGAAGCAAAACGATGCGAAAGAGAAAGAAAAGAAAGAAAAAATTAAGAAGAGGAAACGTTAGGAATAGTGGCAAAGAAAAAGGAAAAGGGAAGGTAAAGAAGAAACAGGAACAGAAGATGTTGCAGTAGGAAAAAGAAAGAAAGAAAGAAAGAAAGAAAAAAAGAAAGAAAGAAAGAAAGAAATATGCGGTAATAGAAGAAGTAGCAGTAAGAAGAGGAAGCGAAAAAATGAAAGAAAAAAGAAGAAATAGATGATGAATAAGAAAGAGAAAGAGAAGAAGAAGCAGTAGAAGGATGTGAAAGAAAGAACAAGAATTAGGTAAAGGAATCGAATATAAAGGAGGAAAGAAATTAAAGAACAGTTTCAAGCAGAAAATGTGAAGAATAAAATGAAAATGGAGAAGAGGGAATTATAAGCTTGAATAATAAAAATAACAAAATACGGATGGTCGGAGAAAAAGTGGGCAATAAGCAAACTGCTTCCGAAGACGAGTGACTAAAACAAAGCTTAAACCAACTGAAGAAGAAGAATGAATGAATGAATGAATGAATGAATGAAGGAAGGAAGGAAGGAAGGAAGGAAGGAAGGAAGGAAAGGAAAGGAAAGGAAAGGAAAGGAAAGGAAGGAAAGGATGGCTGGAAGAAATCCTGGTGACTGGAAAAGGCGTGGCTGGCAACGAAAGTAATAAATAAAATAGGGAGGAGACAAGAACATTGAAATAAATAAAAACAAAGAAAGGGAAAAAAAAACGGAGACTATTAAAGCGGAGTTGGGCGAGGGTGTATAGAGAAGGGCACTGAAATGAAAGAACAAAACCAAAGTGAACAAAGAACAAGAATATCACAGTACAAAGAATATTTTCTTATTCTGGTTTTTCTTGAAATGAAAGAGGAATGCAGTCGAGACGGGAATGCAATCCAGGATAATGAGAAAGATTAAAATCATGGCTTTTATCTCTTTTCTAAGACGATTACGCGAAATATGTGAACGTCCTGTAATTATTCCCGACCAATTAGAAAGACCGCAAAGCGAAAGAAAATAATTCAATCAGTTTGGAGAACCACCCAAACCCTGCATTGAGAATCTCACTCCGCACTTACCACATAGACTATACGGAGACACACCTCGTCAACGCTACCTCATTGGTATTAAAGAGTAATTCTTTGGAATTGAAACGTTTTGTCGTCGGAGATCTGCATCTTGAAAATTTTTCTACGTATACAATTAAAAATTATGAAATATTTGTTATAAGTTTTAGATTCTGCTTCCCCACCCTAAACTTCCGATTGTGATATCGCCAAGGATCTATAAATCATCACTTTGAATTTTGATCTTAATTTTTTCATATATAATGCGAAATCTAAGTGATTAAAAGAGAAGGCATTAGCTCAAGTGCTTTAGAAAAGAAGGTGACTATGTTGGAAAATTCATACGAAAGAGCCGAAAGAACAACAAACTGAGTATTTTCACAATGAAATTGAAATATTTGTTTTATCATTCAGTGTGTAAATGATTATTACTCTCCACAGCTTCCTCTCTCTTGTTATTCTAAGCAAAACTTAACTCTTTACCATACCTTTTTATTTCCGATCTGCTATCCATTTGTCGAAGCTGATTAACTATGTTATTCGTTGTTTACCTCTGCTCCATCTTCCTTCAATATATCCTGTGAGTGTTAATTTTCCAAGCCCACTTTTTTCATAATACGTTCAATACGTTTATTGATTTGAGTGATTCGCTTTCCAACCATTTACAGGTTATCTAAAGCCATAAAATATTTTTAGATTGTAACAATTTTTTGGACATAATAATGATTTAGTGATATAAGACTTACTAATTAACCCATAGTTTGGGGAGAAGAGGTGGAGCCACGCCTTTCCCAAGAGTATTTGCGCGTAAGTGAATATAAAGAACCAAACGGGAATTGAGACTCGGCTCTCCGATTAACAATTCCAAGCTATTTTCCATTACACCTGGTATTCCCAAACGGTCACCCACGTAAGTACTGACCAGGCTTGGCATTGCTTAACTTCAATGAACGTACGGGTACTGATGTTTCAGTATGATATGTCCGGAAACTTTAATGCGTTCCAGGAATACTCTCTATCTATTTCTAATTATATGCTTTCTAATTCTAATTTTTATTCCATTAACAAAGCATCTAATTCTACAGAGGTTCATTTCTGCTTTAATACGATGAAAACTGGCATGTGACTTTCAATGCCTCAAAACCTAAGGGAATACCATTTTATCGTCACCGTACTGACCTGAGTTAAAGGTTCAACAGTTCCACCCAATGCTTTGAATATCTCTTTGCTCTCAAGTTTATTCCAGATCTCAAATAGAACTCTTATATACTGTTGTAACCTAGGAAGAGTTACTGAATGAGGAATAAACGGTGATTGGAAATGAAATGATAATCTTTATAACATCAACAAATTGCAATACTCGCCAGCGGCGTGAAGTAGGTAAACCACTGCTAATAGTGGACTACTTAGACAGCATATTACCCCCGCTTAAATAGTGTTCAATGAATTTATGGGGGTTGGGACATACGAATTAGTGTACGGTATATAACATATACAATCAATTGCCAAAGACGCTGAGATGATTTTCCGATTATTCTATCGCTCCAGGAAGTACCCGGTTCCTTCCATTATTTTTAAAAGTATCTTTTTAAACAAAAACAAAATGTTGTATTGCTTCTATATATGGGCTGGGGCTGCTCAATACTCACTTTCTAGCCTTGATAGAGCTCAAAATCGTTTGCATGGTCAAATCGCGGGTAGGAATTTTCCCATAGACACAATATTGTATGCCTATCGTTGGCCTACCGATATCTCCTTGGCAAATATTCTGAAGATTGCTATCTTTTAGTTCCACCAGTTTACCTTTATTGCGGGCGCTTGTTTGACCATTGAGAGCGTTAATGTTTGGACCGTGTGTAGTGTGCTAATCTTGCAATGGTCGATTTGTCAAGGAGGTGGCTTCTGAATAATATTGACCTCGGAAGATGATCCCAGCACGCGGCATACGGTCACATCACGTTGAAACACCGGTTCAGCCTGGTCAGTACAGTACCTAGATAGGTGAACGCTTGGGAATACCAGGTTGTGTAGAGCTTACATGTGGATGTGGTGTAATCAATAATGGAATTTTTAATCGGAGGACTGAGTTCTAATTCCTGTTATATTCACTTACTCGCAAATACCTTTCAGGAAGGCATGAACTCACCTCTTTTTATCCAACTATAGGCAAGACATGTACAATATCTTTAGACCATTATTATCGCAAAAATTATTATAATTGTTGTAATATTATCATTGCTCAAAAGAGCCGAGAATTAGGAAAGCCGTAGTTAGAAAGAGTATCGAAGAAACAGAAGACACGTCAGGGAAGACAAAATAGAAATTTATTAAATATTCATACAGAAAATGGAAAATCTTGAGTAAATCAACTACTACTCAATTATGTTTATTTCTTTAAAACCGAAAATGTGGCACAAGGCCAAAAAGGGAGATGAGGAGTGCTGGTTATTAAACTGTCTTATTTTAAACTTAGCTTAACACATTCATTGACCCAAACAAAATATACAATATCCCTTGCACTAAAATACCAGATTCTTATTTACCATCCTTACTACAATCGCTATAATACCTCCAGGTCTCTATGAAGTCGTAACTAGTCCCCATATGTACAATTTTTCTGTGGGGAGTGGGGAATAAAATAACAACTTTCAAAAATGAAACCCCAATAATACTATATACAAGAAACTAAACAAAATGATGTTAGTAATAACCCTCCCACACACACACACACACACACACAGAATCCTTAATTGTGGTAGAAACGTCAGACAACTTGACGAAATTAATTCATTCAAACAATCACTCACTCAAACAAACACTCCTTCAAACATATCAACAAATAAGAATGACACAAAATTAAATTTCTAGTCACCAAACGGCGGAGGATTGGGGGAATTAAAATAAAAAAGGAGGTGACAAAAATAAAAGGGGACCAATAAGCATAAATCGCCTAGCTATATCAACTCAAATCCTACTCTAATGTGTCTACTTGTCATGATTATAAATAGGAACAGTCCATTGTTGCCTCTAGCCAGCTGGTACATTTTCTTTTTCCTAATCGTGATGCTGATACCAATTCGTCTGGTGTAATGGTAACCACAGGCAACTGAAATGTGTTTTACTGGTTTCCGAATGGCAGTGCCGTCGACCGAGGAATGTACAACAACAATTTAAAAATATTTTCTGGCTTTAAATAACCTGCAAATGGTTGAAAAACCATTTTAAAAAAAACGAATCAAAAAAGATGTCCGCAAGCAGCATCGTGGGGGGGGGGAAACGATACCACGTGTGGACCCAATTCTTTTGGGTGACATTTGGTAAACAAAAATGTTCGGAATCCCGCCAATATGACTGAGGTTGTAAACGTGATGACCTTGTTCAAACTGGTGACCCTCCCAGGTTATACGATCTCTCGAAAAATACTGTGACTATGTACCTGAGTTACAGTTACAAATTAGTGGTTGGAGCTCAACTCGACGCATCCAGTCAATTAATAATTTAATAGTGTTAAGTCATTCTGAATTTCTCGATGGAGCAGTCATTATTATTAATATTTGGCTACCATTCTTTTTATTTTATTTTTATTTCTGTTGCCTATAATCATCTTTTAAATGGTCGATCGTTAAATATTAAGTGTCAGAAAAAGAAAAAGAATCTTAGTTGTAAAATGTAAATAGTGTTTATGGTAGATGCTAAATGGCAATAAGAAATACAGTGAAAGAAAAATAAGTAAAAAATGACCGATATATGAGATTGACTTGAGAAAGTTATAAATCTACCTCTTCTCCCTCCAGCTATGGGTTAATTAGTAAGACATATCACTAAACCATTATTTATGTCCCTCCACACAAAATTCTTACAATCTGAAAATGTTCTTTTCTGGCTTTAAATAACCTACAAAGGATTGATAACTCGTAAAAAAAAAAAAGAATCAATCAATTTTTTTGTAGAAATAAACAAATGAATAATATCCTTGTTGCTAACTCGGTCTGGAGAAATGGTTAACACGATAAGTCCGTTTGATCATTAGTAGTGAGTGGGTGCTCCATACAAACATTCGATATTAAATAACGAGAACTTCATTAGATGTATATAGAGTTGTGTAACCCACAGGAATGAATTTCTGGAATGAGGAGTTATCATTATTTACACTATTTATATGTGGACTATTGTCTTCATCTTTGTTGTTGTTATCACAACGTTTCGGCCGTTATACTCTCCAGCCTTTATCAGGTGTATGTTAATCCGATCAACCAACAGGGAATGTCGAACTAAATCCATTATTTAATCTACGAACTAGACAATATATCTCTAGAGATGGACAGTAGAACGAGAACAATCTTCTTTTTTAATCATTTCATCCCAAGCAAAGCGGAAATGCAACTAGTACGCAGGGATCACAGGGAGTGAAAGTGAGAGAAAAGACTGGCTATAGAATGGTTTGAGAAAAGGACAAAAGATGAACAGGATTCAAGAAAATAGAAGATGGCGATTGACGTTGTATTTACATTTTTGAAGATGTATCTATCGGGGAAACGAGTGAACGGAATGGAGTTCCATAGGCAGGAAGTACATGAAAAGAAATTGTTGGAGTAAAAGTAGCGGTTGCATTTGGCTATTTCAACAGTAAATGGGTGCAACCTAGATGCCAACCTAGTAGCACGCTTAAATTCATGTCGGTGAGAAAGTGATTGAAATGGAGATGCCTGGTCAAGATAGATTATATTAAAGATCCTTCTCGAGATGATTAACAGGAGAATCAGACCAGATATACAAACAGTATTCAATGCACGAATGAATGGTAGACTTGTAAATGTGCAAGATGGACTCTGACGAGAAAAAATTCTAGCACGATACAGAAATCTACCCCAGTAAATTAAATAAAGGGTTCACTTCGGAATTTCCTGTAGGTTACCCAGTCTGCCATTCACATATAAATACTTTAGATAAGGAAAGAAGTTGTTTTGCATGAAATGACCTATATAGATGTTATTATACCATGTTTGCCTCCATTATGTTATAGCTGTTATACTCGCAATTGTAACGCTTTGTCTTTCATTTATTCCTCTTCATTTTCTCTTAAGTTTTAAAACACTTTTTCTTTGTACACATTCTGCCACCTGTCTAACCCCAGCCTTTCTACGTACACAATGACATTGTCGAAACAACAGTCATTAAAACGAATCTAGCAGAACGTGTAGCGCCGCTTGAAGGCAAACGCTAAAGAGACAAAAATAAAGTAAATAAACACTCGAGGAACAATGAAATGGATAAGTCTTTTAAATTAAAATCCCAAATCACTTTCTCATCGCTTTTTCTCATCCGTCGCCATCATGGCTCGCTAACGTGGTTTTGCGTGCATTTTAAGATAATAACACACAGAACCACACAGACACGCACACGCACACACACACACAGACACACATTCAATCACACTTTTCTCTTTCTCTCTACACACACACACACACACACACACACACACACATATATATATATATATATATATATATATATATATATATATATAATTTTGATTTTGTTATGCAAATATATTATCAATAAAATACATATAAATCGAACGAAAGGGCAACATTTACAGGATATTTTAATATATTTATCAGCAAAATATCATTTGTGTTCCTTCGGCAAATGGGCGATCATGGCTCTCCGACACCTCTTCTCCTTTGTAGCGCCTAGTAAGGTGTTTCTTTTTTAAATTATTTTCCCTAAATAATGTGAAAAGCTACTAAGTGTTAGAGGCGAATATGAAAAGAAAAACACTATTAACGACAATTAAAGAATAAGAAGACGGAAGATAACGATTGACATTGCATTTAATTTTTTGAAGATTGTAGTTGACCGGAATGCAAAAAAGGCCGAAATAGAGATTTTAGAAGTGCGATAGAAGAAAGTATTAACATAGAACTTGCGGTTGCATCTCGCCATTTCAACTGTAAAATGATGAAACCTTGCAACCAATCTAGTA